GCACATACTAAAATGCCCAGCTCCCAGAGAAACATCAAATGCTCAGCATAAACCATAATTTTTGAGTAAATAGTTTAGGTACAAATGAGTCATCCTAATCACACAATAGTGAACATTCTTCTGAAATGTAGGTTTTCAGATGCCAGCCAAGGCCAATCCTCTAAATAGATTTTCCAAACTAAGCAGTCTGAAGTCTCACATTATAACTTTTTTCTGCACAGTTTATTATCCTTTTTATGTTTTGATAGATTTCCTTTACTAATATCTGTGTGGTACTTTTGCATCCATATTAATGAGAGAGGCAGGACTATCATTTCCTTTCTTATAAAGCACTTACAGGTTTTAAATATGAAAACTATGTCATCAAATATTTCTGTATTTTCTGTTTTCTGAGTGATTGTGTATGTGTTTGTTTCCTGTACTTCATCAAATATCTGAGATAATCAGCTTATGAAGACAAAAATTTCATTTTGACTCAGTTTTTGGAGGATCACAAGATAGAGACCAGCCTAGGCAAGTTAGTGACAGGGAGACCATGTCTCACAATAAACAAATAAAAGGGCCTGGGGGTGTAGTTCACCTGTGTTTGGCCCTGTGTTCAATCCTGAGTAACACACACACACACACACAGCCTCACAAACTCAAAATGTAATTTTTAATGTAATTAATTTAAATGTAATTTTTGGCTGCATTTAAATCTCTCTCTCCTTCCTTCCTTTCTTCCCTCCCTCTCTCCATCTATGCCTCTTATAAATTGTTTGAAAATCCTTATTCTATTTTATGATATATGTTTTTATTTTGAGGAAATTCTTGGTCATTATCTCTCCAATTATTATTTGTATCTCATCCCACTTCTTTTTTTCTAGTACTACAGTTGCACCTTTATTAACCTTTTTAATATGTTCCAAATAACTCTTATTATCTTCTTCATATTTTCTGCCTTTTTATTTATTTATGCTTTTTTATCTTCAGTCTGAATATTTTCTACTAAGCTGGCTTCCAGTTTATTAATAATCTTTGCAATTGTGTCTGATCTTCTAGTGAAATTTATCTATTAAATAGGTAATTTTAGTGTTCACATTCCTCAGTTCTATATACTTTCCTGATCTCCTTTTAATTTTTATTGGGCCACGTTTGTAATGCATCATGATTACATTCATTGTTTGGGGTTGATACATGTTCATAACACATTTTAATTCTTGTTGTTTTCCTGGTGCCTGGATTCCAGATCCCAACGAGGCTACATTTTGCTGATGATCACTACCCTGTCATTTTGGTTCTCTCTACTTGATCATTTTCCTAGCTTGTATTCAGAGCTAAAATTTCTGATGTAACCTTTCGGTTTTTTGATAATGTAACTGCAGTTATTTTAGTCTATTTTCAAAATTTCCAGTACAAAAACCTCATGAATTTCTTGACTTTTGATCAGTATTCTTTTTGCCTTTTTTATTTATATGTTAAAATGTGATTCAATGCTCAGCATTTTGTAAAAAAAACTAGTATAATAAAGTTTTAAATTACACATGTGTTTGAGGGCAATTTTATTTTTAGTTTTGGATTTATTTCTATTCTAAAACTTTAGATGGGTTGACTCAGTGTAAACTTTCTAGGTTGCTTTTTACAAAGTGGGCTTTCATTTCCATTTTTAATCTTGTGATTCCCATGGGATTTCAGAAATACCTATTTAGTTTCTTTTCCTCTTAGTTATAGTATTTTTTTGGCTTCTCAGACTGTGGAAAACCACTTGTAAATTGAGAAAAAAGTCTCAATGGAAAAGTTTTCTGGAAAACCAGCACACTATTTCAATTCTCTCCACCATCTTGCATGTTGGCCCTTCAAATCTTCACAACCTAGGTATATTTCTGATGCCTGTACACAATTTTGTAAATTTTATCCAGGGTTTATCACTATTCTCTAATGAAGTGCTTATCTAATGTAAGCTACTTTCCAGGGCCCATAGTACAGTTCTCTATCTAAAACTGGCAGGGGATTTATCTCAGTGGTTCCACCACCTGCCACGCAAGCACATTCGATTCCCGGTACCAAAAAAGAAGAGAAAAAGAAAAAGGAAAAAAAAAGTGAGCTAAAACTGCACCACTTCTTTCCAGAAATTCTTCTCATCTTGCATAATTGGTGTCTCTGTGATTCTCTGCCTAAGATGTCTCTGCACCATCTACAAGATTTCCATGAGAGACTGAATCTGTCTAGGACTTTTGCAACCACCTCAATGAATATCGCTTTCCAGTACCTCACTTTACTTCACAGTTTTCAACATTAAACCTGTAGGTTCCATTACTTAGTGGGAAGATTCCACTTGAACATACTAACTATTCCTCAAACTTTATATATTTGATTTAATTTCATATTTTTGTTTATAATCCTGAGTCAAATCCATCTCTATATACTTATATCAATGCCTCTCTATTTATCTACCTCCCTTCCTAGGTCTGTTTAGTGGAGAACCTTGACTATAATATATATAATCTATAATACAGTAGTTATTTTATAAGTAGTAAATATATCTGAAGGTCATTAGTGAAATATAGATATATTAATAATCTCAAAATAAAGTACATGGAGAAATGTAATATTATTTTCTGTCCTCTTTTGTTTGTTTGCTTGTGTCAATTAGTAAATATACCTTTATATTTTAAGGACTCATGATAGGTCCCAGTTTATAATATAAGTCTTGCTTTTGATTTTCAGTTACTACTTGAACTACTATGCCTCCCTTTTTCAGGTGACACCCAAATCAGGGACACTAGCTACTCAGAAACCACTTGAATAGTCAGTACCTATAGCTCAGTAAGATCTTCAAGGTCAAGAACTACGTCTGTTATTTCTGTGCACCAGGGATCTATCTTAATGTAGCAGCTCAATGAATAATTTATCCAAGGGAACTAACTCACTGATAGCTGGTCGGCTTATCCCAGGTGTACAGTGATGGAGAGTCAGATAGGTCTATCCTATTTTAGTTTTTGGTTGAGATTTGGTTTTTGTTTGCTTGTTAAACAGTTTCATATCAGTGTTACTATGTAACTCTGACATATAGCAACCATAGAGTTGTGAGGAACTAAAATGCATATTTGCTTTAATTTTATGTCTGCTTCCCAACAGCTAAAACTAGACAAGAGCATGTATAACTAGTGACAAAACATGGGATGTGATCGAAAAATATGGTATATGTTTAAACTTAAAAAACTGATTGCAGTAAAAGACGTATTGGCATTAATCACCCTCAAAATAATCTGTCTTGTTTCAGTCACACTTATCACATTGTTCTTTCCACTTTCTAAAGCATTCTAGAAGTCCTCTTTTGGGTGTATTTGAGGTGCACTATTGTGGCTCCCTTGATGTTCTGAATTGACTCAAAATATTTACCTTTTGGGAGCATTTTGACTTCAGGGAAGAACCAGAAGTGGCATGCTACCAAATTCAATGAGTAAGGTGGAAGAGGACGTACAGTAATATTTTTTACAAACTTGCCTTTCCATTAGATGGCACTCATCAACAGCAGTCACTGTATTTTTTAACCACACTTCGTAATGACAGGAAAGAGGACTTCCAGAACTGCTTCAGCAAGTGACAAGAAAAATACAATAGGTGTTTGAAGTGAGAGAAATTACTACTTTGAGAGGTATTCATGGAAATGTGTCTTTGACTGCAGTGAATTTTTTTTAATTTAAGTATTCACCATGCTTTTCAATCATTCTTTATACATGTTATGTAGTTGTTCTCTTGCTTCCCACCAAACTTTGTGTTCTTGGAGTTCTTTAAGTCTTCCCTTTGGGATTAGCTAAAAGACAGCTTTCAGCCTGGGCCAGGGCCTGGGTAACTTTGCTTTCCTTTGCCCTCTGGTTGGGTTCCATGCTTGTCTTGGCATATTATTAATTATTCATGTAGAAATCTCTATAAAAATGAGAGGGTTTTCAGCTGCTGAAGCTTTTAAGGCTTCAAATTACAAAACTTTCTGCCTGAAATGCTGTTGCTTCTCTTTCTCTTTGGCCTACCTCTCCAACTCTTCTTGTACACAATCCACCTCATCATTTATACTCCAACTATATAAACTTCTCAGAATCCTCTGACACAGTGCATTGTTTCTTGGCTGTATGTTGGCACTGCTATTTCCTATGCCAGGAATGGCATCCGTTCTCCCTATTTTCTCTGGCAGGAGTTTCTGGCTGGTTGGCAAGGTCCTACTCCAGCATCAAGCCTTCTCTCATAACATTTCTGAATTTTGCAACTCAAATTTATCATGACCTGAAATAAGGAAGGACAAAATCCAGTCACCTTGTCCCAACCTTCCATAATGTGCTCAACATACTCATTCATCTATCTGTTCATTTAACATTTGTTGAATGTTTATAAAATTTTAAGGAATATGCAAGATTTTAAAGATAAAAAATGCCTAAGAAAAAATATCTGTCCATCAGAGATCACCAAATAGAGCAAACAAAATACAAATTAAAAGAAAGAATGAGATTAGTTTTACCATTCACAATATATTTTCCCTACATGTAGGGCTTCCATAAGAAAGCTTAAATCTTAGCTTTGATAGAGGATTCTGTTTACAAGGCTCTACTGTAAGACTGATACAACACGTAGAAAGCAAAAGTATCATGCCCATAGCTGCTTGGACTCTTCCATTTTGTGTCTGTAAAACTAAGTGAAAAAAAAAAAAAAGACCAAAAGTGACTACATTACTATGGTCAGAACATACAAACCCCTGACAATCTAATAATGGATTATGAATATTAATCTAGAATGTAAGTTCCTGTGGGCAGGGATTTTTTTTCTGTTTTATTCAATGTTCAGTAGCTACTTTCTAAAATTTGCCTATATAAAGAGATGCTCAATATTTATAGGAGTTACATGTTTTTGAATAAATACACCTAGTGAAAAATAAAAGGGAAACAAAAATTAATAAATTCACCTAAATAATATAAGATCAATAAAATTTCTTCTTTATAAAAAATTTAACTTTCTTATTGTTTTTATAGGCTCAATGGTCAAACCTGAAGGAACTCACCACCTACCTTCTCTGTTAACAGACCCAAAACTCTCAGGTACAAAATACTCAGCCAAACAGCTGACTGAGTTTTAGACCAATGATATGTAAACTCCACTAAAACTTACTACTCTCTGCCCATCCTTATAGGCCCACTTTCCCATTCTTGAAGTCATTATTTCATGGTTTCTTTCCTATTCCTCAAAAACAATTAGGCTTCTCCTATACCTCTATATATAAGAAATAAGTTGGACTCAGAGGCGAGCCATCAAATAAGCACCTACACCAAGAAAATAGAAAACTATCTTTTATTGTGCCTGTTTTTGCCACTACTAGTCATTCAGTGCAGGAAGTATTCATTCTTCTATCAATATCCAAACCTAGGGAATGCATTCAGAACTATACATACCACTGCCATCTCACAGTCACAAACCATTTTATCTGCTCCCAAAGCTGCCTCATTCACCACTCCTCTATCAAAATCTTTCCCATTAGCATGTAGACATGTACCTGTATCTACAAGTTACAGCTGGTGCTTTCTTAGTCTAAATCTCACTATTTTAATTATTTTCTTCAGAGCATGTATAAAAACTTGTGATTATCACACTTATTGCATTGGGACTTCTGGAATACAGCATTATTTAGTTCTTGAGCTGAAAGTTTACACCAAGCTGCTTGGGTCAATGGTACAACCATGAACAGAGTGAATGATCCTAGTGGATTGGAAAAAATATCATAGGAGTGAAAATGTCAAGGCATTTGATTGGAAATATATTTTAAAAGTAGAGTGTATGTAGCTTGATGAATTTAAATGTGATTATTGAAGGGCAAAACAATAAAGAATGACACCTATGAGACAGGAAGATTTAGGACACAAAATATATTTCTCATTTAGAAACAAATTTGGTAATTAATAGTAGTGCAAGGGCTATATAGGTAATTAGATAAATGTATCTTAAGGTCAGATCAAAGTCAGTACTAAAGATTTAAATTTTAAAGCTTTACTTTTTATAAATAATGCAAATAATTTATATTTACTATAACCAATGATGATCAATTTATCAGTGTATCTTCCGACCTTTAGAATAAAGTCAGATATTTTTCAAAAAGCAATCATATTTTTAAAAAGCAATCATATTCACATGAATGAAAGAGATTTTTGTGAGAACCAATGTGTTTGTTTCAACCACAACATTCCAACCATGCCTTGCAAGTATATTGAAAGCTAAAAAGTCATCAGATTTAAATAGTGCAACAAAGGATTTCATTTTTACTTCATACTTTTCATGTTTTTGTTAAATAAGAAGTGAATACTACTCTATTCCAATATTAAATATTTCTTGATGTTTGCCCACCCAAAACATTTTGCTTCCCAGAAGGAATAGTCTACAGATGTACTTAGACAGAAAAAGGAAAAAGACAGTATCTTTGAGCAGCTCTTTCCTTACCTCTCAGACAGACCCTCTGTTTTCCCTTTCTTTTAGTTAAAGCTGAAAACATTAGATGAAAAAGATTAAATGTAATCAATGTCATCTCAAGCTGGCTAAGAGAGTACCTTTCTGTGGCTTTGCCACAAAATAATATAGGGAAGCTGCTCATTGTTATGAATAGTATGAGCCAATATGTTATTAACATCTGGTGGTAAATTTGCCCATAATGAAAAAGCTGGGGTGCACCTCCTGGAATCATAGCTTCACACATTTTGATTATTCAGTATGATGTTCCCTGTGTTTCTGGTCATCTGCCAGCATACTAATATTTCAGGAACAGTAAGTGACATTGGAAGGTAGGTTGACGGTAAATATAAGCCTTGTTCTCTTACAAACTCAGTCGAGCACTTTGGCACAGTTATCTCAACTTCCTGCCTTAACACAAGGGATACTCAGTGAACAAAAAGCCTGACTTTGCCAAATTTTGTGCTCAAAACTTCAGGCTTTCAGTCATCTGGTTATATGTCTCCATTGAGAGATTCATCATCAAATCTCTAGATGGATTTGTCTTGTCCTTTCACAAGCCTGTTTCTTAACACTGGACATTTTCACTCATAAAGAAAGTCCACTGATGTTTAAATTTCAAAGTAGCTTCTCAGTTCTATACTTCGACCACCGAAGCATATTTGAAATATGCTTATCTCACTTTTAAGAATATTTCAGGACCAACTACAGAGAAGAGAAATAAATTTGAGCATGAGATTTAAGCCTCATATAGAGGTTGAGTAACTAGTGTCAAAGAGTCTTAATGAAAATATCAATAAAAATTTTTTAGCTACCTATGTCAAACTGCCTTATCCAAGTTATTCATAATAATCATAATTCATAAATTAAATACAATCTTGAAATATGTATGTATAAATTGGAAATTATAGTTTTAGACAGGAAAATAACTCAAATATCCATTATAGCTTTCACTGGAGTTGAACTTTGTACTTTTAATGTCTCCAATATATCTAGGAACTCTGCTTCCTACTAGTCCAAAGATTAATGCAAATTATGAAAATCAAATTGACACACAATCAAGAAATCACCCTTTTATAATTCAACCAGATTCTTCTTGCATGAACACAAAATAATAAATCTTATTCTTAAAACCACAACCAAATACATTAACTGAATGGCATACTATATTCATACTTCCTAATGCTTAGAAATATTTTATATGTATATCTCATCATCTATTCATTTCAATAGGAAGTTGAAAGAAGTTTGAGGAAGTTGTTATAATTCTTTAAACTATAGAGACAAGATGAAAACATATTTCAAGTGCAAGAAAAATAGATTTAAATCCAGATCTTGTAATACTGTTCTGACCCAATACCCTTTGAATATACATCTTTAGTTAATGTGAAAGTATGGACAATCTCATATCATCTTGCTTTACCTTTCTCCCTGCTAACAAATAATGCAATAAAGAAATGAAGACTAAAGACATTGGTGCAATCTGTGACCATGTAATTTTAAAACCCAACTCATTTTCACGAAGAGTGAAGAATTTATAATGAAAGCACCTTAATATTTATCCCTGAGGTAATTTTTGCCTAGCTTTGAAATATAATGTTCATAATATATAATTCTTTTCCAAGTGTGAAATCCTGAGTATAAGAAAAATTTGTATCCAGCCAATATATGTATCAGATAGAAAATGAAGTTAAAATAGGTCCATATGTAACTTAAAAATACAGACATTTCTCATTGCATAGTGCTATGTCTCACGAGTCCACTAATACATTAAAGATTGGCTCTAATGTGAATCAGTTAAGAACTTTTTAAAAACTATGGCCTGTAACAAGTACAGGCAGGATAATTAATGCTTGGTCATTATGTTCATTTTACTTTATCAGGACCAAAAACATTCTTAACATTCACCATTTTTGCACCATCAATCTGTTGTTTTCACTGATGATTTAACTCAAAATTTAGGATATACACAATGAGTTTTTCACCCAATCAAGTGATCAAGTGAAAATATGCTTTCAAGATATTTCTAAAAATTATGAATGATTGGCAGGTCTACCTACAAACTACATATGTTGAAATAAGTGAAATTAGCCATCAAGAACAAAACATGTCATTAGTTTCAATATTTGGCAAATCTATTTAAAATAATGAGTTCTACAAATTTAATATCTTAGTTGTGTAAAAGAATAGTGCTAGGTAAATACAGGGGTAAAGGAAAATATATTCCTTTTATGTAGAAAAACTTACATTGGGTTCCATCTGGGGATAAGTGAACATAATTTACCATATGTGATAAAATATTTGCAAAATATTTTAGAGGTAGGGCTGGGGATATAGCTTACTCGTCTAGCACTTGCCCACTATATGTGAACCAACACACTGCAAAAAAAATAAAGAGGCAAACCTCTACATTTATTGCTGGCTATATTATAAAACTTATTAGGAAATTTTGGAATCATACATTTTCCATATCCTAATCCTCTTTATGTCTCAGTAAATAATTCATTAGCTCAAATAGAGCACTTATCAATACTGTCTTAATATTTTAAGTTTTATAATATATGGATATTGATTATAACTACATTGTAAGATATTTAAAAGAAACATTATGACCCAAATGTAAAATGTACCAAATGAACACTTTGGCATCCTTATAAAATTCTCTCAAGATGGGGAAAAATATCCATATGCTTTGTGATCAATTGGCTGAAAATATTGCTGGGTGCTTTGTCATAACAGGCTGTTCTGTGGGGAGACTTAGAAATACTGGCTCCTGTCCAGTTGGGTAAGAGATTAACTTTATCAAAGTCTCTGAAGATAAAGGCCCAGGCTGATGCATGTGACTGTGGTCACAATACCATAGCCAATTCAGAAAACCTTGTGAAGGAACAAAGCAGCCTTATTCATGGAGAAAGACATGTGCATAAATACCGCAAGCTTCAGGGACAACAATAAAAAAAATTGGCAGAGTTACCTGCATGTGGTCACCAAAATCAATTCCATTTTTATTATGGAACTGGTATTATGAATGCTGAGTAGATAAGGGGAAAAACTGCCAGGTCTTACAGGAAAACATTTTTCTATCAGTGGATGATGAAGTACTGTTACAGCATGAAATATCCCTCTCTTTAAACAGATGATTTATAGTCAAGCAGAATCTCTATCTTCTCGTGATTCATTTCTTTGGCACTTTTCTTTCCCTTGCAGAATTTTCTAAAGCAAGATTTGGGCCATTGTGCAGGAAAGCCACCAAGAAGGTGACAAGGCAAGTTTGACAGAAGGTGTGGTGTTGGTTTTAGCCTCACATTTAAAAAGGGTGACCTGGCTAATGCCTAGACTCTCATAAGCTCTTGGTCTGCAGGAAAGGCTACTTAGCCATCTGACGTAGAATCAAATCCAGTTATTGAGAGCAGAGGTGTTGAAAACAATATCTCTTTGGGGAGAAAGAAGAAAAAGAATCATTGATTTTTTTTTCTGCTCTTGGGATAAATACATAGTTGAGACTCATCTTTTACATTTCTTTTCAATGATTCTTAATTTGTACACACAAATACTAAACTAAGTATTAAACCCAGAAATTTCTAGGAAAAATATTTCACTTTTAAGCGTGGATAAAAAATATAAAGCAAGATCTTCATGTTT